CTCGTAGATGCCCCCCCCCCCCGTCCTTCCCCTCTCCCTCTTCTGGCAGAGAAGTTATTTGCATCCGAATGGACCATGATACTATGTAATAGTTTTCAGAGATTTAAAGTTCCGATAACGACTGCCACCGCACATTTTACTTTTTTTGCAGGCAAACCAGTTCTGCCCTCCTTGATAAACGAGTCAGATGACCGATATGGACCACATCTCACGTGGGTGCCGTGGCGTCAGCCCAGGCCTCCTGCCCCGCTTTTCATTCACAAGTGCGAAGAGTCAGGGGCATGGGGGGATCACAGGCCATGCTTTCCTGTCCATCTTGTAGGGAGATTGGTTGCTTGCTGGTGCAAGAGCGGCGAGCTCGGGTGACAGCAACGGATTGCCTTTTTGTCAACCCCCCCGAAGCCCCTTCCGCAACACCCTCTGCTGCATCATCCCTATCGCCTACTCCGCCGTGAAAAATGAACGTGGTACACACTTGTAGAGGGTTCTTCAGCATCCCAGAGAGGCCACTTGTCGCCACCGGGGCCCATGGCAGCGAAATACAAGGCAGCAAACAAACTTGTTTCTGTCATGGTTTCTTCATGCTCGCGAAAGAATCCTTCCTAGCCCAGTAAAAACCAATAAAAATTGCCTTTGACCCAACAGCAGACGACACCCAATGTCGATCCCACACTCGATATGAAACGTTTGACGGTACAACCTTCTCGGTTGTCCTTAGTGGCCACCGCTTTCGCTCGAGATGAAACCAGTTGCTTTAGAGGACATCCCAAAACGTGGTACCGTCACGCCTCCATAATATCGAGTTTTTTTGTCAACATGGGCGTCTTCCGGCGTTGGATTGGGTCTTTTTCATTGACACCATGCCGTGCTGGGCTGGGCTGTTTCTTGAGCATGCTTGGGAACAAACCATGACAGCAGTGTGTTTTTTGAGTGAAAACCCGACTAAATATTATTTCGCTGCCATGAGCGCCCGTGACGAGACCTTGCGCGTCTGGGGGTGGGCAACAACCCTGTTACGAGTGCACCACGTTCGTTTTTCATTGTGGAGTCGTCGATGGCGATGTTGTAGAGGGGCTAACGGGCGGCCAAGACCACTTTGGACGCTTCGAAAATTGGTAACTTGCTGCTTTCAACCGGGTTGACCACTTTTCTGCCGGCAAGCAACCAACCTTGCGACAAATTGTGCAGGAAAAACATGGAATGATCCCCCCCAGCACCCCTTCCCTTAACAGTTGCGAGTGAAAAGCGGGAAGGAGGAGACCGCATTACTAACGATCGCGGGCAGTGTGTGTCGGTTTGTGAGCAGACTGCCACGAGTGGCATACCCTGCGACTGACTCGGTCTCGGCCCTTTCTGGCTCAAGAACCAGTAGTCTCCCATGTTGACGGTGTTTTTCCATTTGAAAAGTGTGAAGGGTAAGTGGTGGTCCGCCTCCGGACGTGCGCGTGGTCAACAACCGGTCAAATTGGAAAATGGCTGACTACGGCATGTGACACTTGAGTAATCCCACGCACACACCGTTTGACCCCTGCGGCCCCCGATGATGCATAGACGGCGGCGCAACGCGCCGTGGCCATGGAACAGCTCGGGAAGATCGTGGGTGCGAGGGGGGGCGAGCTCATGTTCGCGGTGCTGGCCAGGCAGAAGCAGAACAACGACAACGGCGGGGGCAACAAGCGCAACGCGAGAGAAGGCGACGATGATGGCAGGGGTGGGAACGCGTCGAAACGCTCGCGTCAGGTTAGAGCGGGGAGTTGGGATTTCGCATGGCATGTCTTCCTCATGGGGGTGTTCTTCAAGTTCACGTCTTGGGTTACTTTTTACATGCTTCGGCCCTCTTTGTTCGTACTGGTGTGTGCTGCAGCCATCGCTGTCGTGTCCCGTTCCGTGTGTCATTTGTTACGTGTTATGCGCGTGTTGCTGTGTTGTTCTTCGCACCCTCCACCATGTTGTGTACTGCTGTGGGTTTTGATGGATGGCCCGTGGGTTTGTAGCTGTCTGGGTGCTCCTGTATTTCATGTTCGTCTGTTTTACTTCACCAACAAGGCGCGATTGGATGCAGCAGGCGGAACCGTACTCATGAAATCGCATGAACGCCACCATTGGGAATGAAGACAATGGGAAAGTCAAGACCCTTCTGAAATGAAGGTTTTGGCTGTCACATTTACGTCTGCCACAATGGAGGCGTTCATGCGCTTTCGTGAGTGCAGCCGCGCCTGCTGTTTGAAGTCGCACCTTGTTCAGAAAAGTAGACAGAGATGGTTTTGTTCAACGGCAGGCATCCACGCACTATTCCGCCTTGTCTCCTTTTGGCGTACAGTCCCATCTCTGAATCTCCTTCTTGGCTTCTTGGGCAATAACAGCCGCCACAACAGCATCTCCGCCCTGCTTCAAAAGTATTCCATGTCGTGGGTGTTTGTCTTTGGTAGACGGGTCGTCCGTGTGTGAATGTTCTCAGGGTCACGCCTGACTCCCACATTGGACAGCAGTCTGGACGTGTTAGGAAGCGTTGGGCTTGTGGGCAGGAGTGTAGGCTAGGGGCACAACAGAAAGCAGCAACAGGCGAGGTGGGGTGTGACTGGGTGGAGGCATCACCTCGCGGGTGCGAGACTTGTGCACTTGAAGTGCGGCCTCGTGAACAAGCAGCAACCTTGCGTCCCTCTTTTGTGATTGTGCGTGTCTCTCATCATAAGTTCTGCTGTTGTAGCTATTTTTGATCGTTCTGGCTGGCAGTCTATCTTCTTGTCCTTCTACCTGTCTGTCTGTCTCGGTCTGTCTTGTTTCTATCTCTTACCCTGTCGTGATGTGCTGCTCTCTGGTTCCTGTGTAGGTAGGTGTGACAAAGATATTTCCCTCTGATATGAGTGTGAATGTGCATTGCACGGAGAGAGATTCCCTCTCGGGAGGACAGATTAAGAAATCCCCATTTCTCTGCGAAGTTCATCTTCGACAACGTTGCGCTGATAGCCTTGAAAAGCTGATCCTGACTCACCAATTGTTCACTCGTGCAACCCGTGGAGTAAGCCTGGGTTCAACTTCCACTTCTATGCACGGAAGTGGAAGTGGGTCGGCGCAGCCTGCGGCTAACCCCCCAGAGGTCACGAGGGAAGATTTGGTGAGTCAAGACCAAGCTGTCAGTGAAATGATGTCCCAGAGAGCTTCGCAGAAAGGTTGAGATTTCTTCATCCGTCCTCCCAGGAGGTAGCGCGCTGCATTTTTTTTCCTGTGGCCCCGGCTGGTGCTTCCAGAATTGCGCCGAAAGGTTCAAGGACCGACGTCTAGAAAAAGCTGAATGAAAATACTTCATTTCTTGTCGGGGATGCCATACGGTGCGGTTATTGGGCCAAGGTCAGTAGCAGTCGCTCCTGAAGAGAAGCGCAGGGGAATGCCGCGCTTCACGAGATCGCGCTGTATGGTGTTTTGCTTTTTTCGGCTGACGAGGTCACCGTTGAGGCACATGAAAAAAGTATTCACGACGGCGTACTGAGACAGGAACCTAGGATGGGTTTCGGACGGCCATGCGCAATCATTTGTTGTCCCTGCTGTTGATGCTGATGTTGTTGCCGTTGCCGATTTTTTTTGGTCTTGCTGCTGCTATTGAACTTGTCGTTACGTTGTTGCTCCTGTTGCTGTTGTTGTTGCTGACGGTGGCGTCGTTCGTGCTGTTGTTGGTGACTTGTTGGTGGATGGTGGTGATGGCGGTGTTGGTGTGCAGGAGGTGGAGCGGAAAACGGTGGCACAGGCCACGGCATCGCTGTACGGAGTCAAGACCTACCCCGAGCAGCTGGCTTTCAAGGAAAAGACTCTCATGGACGACCTCTTCCTGAAGCTGCCCCTTGTCATCAGGTAAGTTGTGAATATAGTTCGAGGGCAAAGGAGAAACAGATCATGGTGAGGTAGGATTGATCACATGTTGACGAGGGACTAACAGAACGTGGTCACAAACCCTGCGAATCAAGGACTGTAGCATTGAATCACACCCTTTTAACAGTTGCCGTTGCCCCCCTCTTTACCGGACAAGGATTAGAAATACTGGTGTTACCTTGTGTCGTCCGCCTGCTTATTACTAGCACAACGAACTCAAGGATGGCGACCAGCTTATGTTCATCCTCACGAAGCGTAGCCTGGGCCGGTGAAAGCCCGGCATATCGCTCCTGTAGGGATGCGAGGTCAATGGTTTCGCGACGACGGCATGCGTTTTCATGAGTACCCCCCGCAACCGTTCCCCAAGGTTTTGTTTCCCCGAATTTCCCCGGCTTGACCTCTCCGAACATTACCAGGCATTCTCAGAAATATCCTTGTTGGCCTGCCGTCGACCGGGGTATTGTCAAAGCAACATTATTGAAGTGAAACAGCGCTCTGTGTTTGAATTGTGTTTTCATGTTCCCAATCAGCTAGACACACTAGTCCAACGTTAGAGTTTTTGAGTGATGATGCTTGAAACGACTTGGGGGGAAGGCAATGAAACGAGCTTTAAGCTTTGCCCGCTACTCTATCCCCTTCTACTTCCCACCCTGTCCCGCATCACACACGGAATCCGTCTCTATCCACGGATAAGAGTCCGTATTAGATTAGCCATGAATCTTTGTGTTGTACGGTGACCAACCTGTTTTTCTACGATTCCCAAAGCGGCATACAGCCATGTCTCCCCTGTGGGTAACAAGGTCTAAGGCCGTTTGGCCTCGTGCTCGATAGGATCGAGTTTGCGTGGTCGAACCTAGACTGCTGTAACCAAAAGTACAACGCAATCCCCGGTTTCAGACAACATACCCCTTGCGCCTTGTTTGGACGAGCCTGTGGCCACTGGCAAGCTGTCGACCTTGTACGACGAGAACAACGAGGCACTGAAATGAGGTCGGAAGCATGATTTCCTTGTGCCCCGCGACCACAGCCACAACAGCATTGAACATACCAACGATTGTTCCTCCCCACACAGGAACGAGTGGGACAAGAGATTCCGCGAGTGGAAGAGGAACCAGGGGGTGAAACAGGACAGTGGTGGGGGTGCTCTCAACAAGCCGGCGGAGCTCCGTTGTCCCGCTTGGTGCAGGATGTTCAAGCGCCGCGACGGGACCGTGCCTTTCGACGTGTCGCCCATAGTGCCGGCTCCGGAGCCGGAGGTACATACGTTTTCGCGTGTGTTTGCGGTTGTAGATGCGTTCCTCTTACTGTTTTGTCGTTGTCTTCACGTCGTTTCGGTCTCTGCCCAGTGCCTTGTAACGTCCGTACTGGTGGAACTGACGAGGACGCCTTCCGTGGTCGCAAGTCAACTACCGAAAACACGTTCATGCGGTGACGAACGGAAATATACAAAGGCGTATGCCTGGGTATGATATTGCATTTTCAGTATTAAGTAGTACCTTACCACTGAAAATCTGTGTGCCATTGTGCATGTGTGTCATGTTGTAGTTTCTGCTGAGGTACCATACCATTAACGGCGCTAACCGGACGGAAAGACATCGGCGTTGTAGCTGGACAGCTTTAGTCTTGTCACGTGTATACCTATCTGTGGGTTGAGTTTCGGGCCTAATGCACGAAACATGCGTCTTGCTTGCTTGTTTTCGGCTCGTGACCCTGCTCTACAGGGTTACAGGAACAAGTGCGAGTTCACCCTGAGCCTCTCCGAGGACGGGCTGGCTACGGCGGGGTTCCGTGCGGGCAGGTTCCAAGCGGGGGTACCCATCACGGTGGAGTCGCCAAAGGATTGTCCTCAGGTGGAGAAAGAAAGAGAAAGGGAGAGAAGAGACAAGACAAACAGACAGACAGACAGACAGACAGACAGACAGACAAGAGACAGAGATAGATAGATATATAGAGGGAGAACCAGAGAGGAAGAGAGCTACTACTATCGCGATCACGCCGCCGCTTGCGCATCAAATTGTTTTGGGTGTGCTTAGGTATTTTGTTCTCGCAGGTGGCAGGATGATACTGAAACAGGTTGTCAATCGCTTTTGCCGTAGAGGTTGACTGTCTGCCCGCGAGACAGGTGGAGAGACGGCGCGTGTAACCGCTCTCTCGTGTGTTTGTTCCACGCTCTTATGTGCAACCTCATTTTCTGTTGTGTCGAGCGGCTTGCACAAAGTTTCGCTTCAAGTTCGTTGGAGAACACGCTATATCAACCATACGGAACATCGCCGGTGCGATTTGCCTCTGTATCTTGTGCGATGTTTCCTGAAGGATATGCCAACAACAGAGGTAGTGGTGTCCTCCCGTTCACTTTCTTGTCGTCGTTCGGAATTGTGGTTAGACAACTGTATGGAAGAGATGGGAGGAGCCAACTGCTTGTGGGTAGATGCTTTTGATGACTTGATTCGATTGCACTCTCTGTCGGCGGTTTGCGTCGATCCAGGTTCACGGAGACATGAAGAAGCTTTGCGTGCAGATGGACGCGTTCATGAGGAGCTCGCCGTTTCCGCTGTACGATGATGTGAGAGAAAGAACAATAATAAATGTCACGCCATGCCAGGGCCGTAGACAAGATGTTTTCTCGACGGGCATGGGAATGCGTATGCAGACTGTGAAAGGAAGTGGGGCATGCATTGGGTACCTGTTCCATCGCGGACCCGCGTATTTGTATCGGAAATGGTGCAATGTTGCAGCTGACTGGTTGCAAAGGCTCGCAAGAATGACGACTCTTCAGCACACTCGTGTCGCACAGAGTCAACCAACTGGCTTGTAGTGACGATGATATGGCCAAGAACCGGGGGTAACAGGAGACCGGTTTTCGAATTCACTTTCCATGGTGAATGAAAGTTGCAGGCGTTGGTGTGGTGTTGCCGAAGTGACGGTCATGTGGCCACGAACAGGTGTTGAACGTCGATCGATGTATCGAATTCATTTTTCAGGATGGCGAAAAGTTGCCGGACCTTGACGTGGTGTTGCCGAAACCCCCTGATCTTTTTGGTCGGCGGACGTGTAGGCATTGCGTCGCTCCGCCGGGCGTTCCTTTGTCTTGAACGAGCGTTTCACATTCTCCCCAACCATTGTGTTTGCAGCTGTGAAATGGGTCCTGATTGGCGATTTCATTGTTTGCTTTGGGCAGTCGACCAAAAAGGGAGTGTGGCGATTGCTCGTCGCCCGACGCTCGGCCGCAGACAATGAAGGCATGGCCATGGTCGTCATAAACCCCACGTGAGTTCTTCCAACACCAAGGACATCTTGAGCGCCGTTTTTCAGAGGGATTGAGGAATCTCAAGTGGACAACGCTTTTTCTACATTGTACGGAATTTTTGAAGTGCAGTCGTTGCTTGTTTCGTGGTTTTGCCCTACTTTATTTTTTTTTGCTGGATTGACTGGTGAGTACTTCTTCAAGATCCTCACGATCTTCACAGGGACAAACAGCAGTATTCTCTGCCGATCCATCCTGGCTTGACATTGACAACTCGTTGTATTGATGTGGGCAGCAGTATTGGCCCATCGTATTCTTCCACAAGCGGAATCGTCACAAACACCAACGTATGACATGTTGGTAGATTGGGTGTTGATTGACGCCATGCAATGCGGCGTATTGTCATTCACCGGATAGCGGATAGCACCGCTGAGCCAAATCAAACCGTTCCAGCATAATTTCGCCGGTATTTGCACGTTGCAGCATTTACTACAGTAATTCCGAATATGTTGTACAGTTACAGTTGGTTTCGCCCCGGGAAGGTAGGAGAGCGCATTAGAGAAAGAACGCTTTGCCACGGAGTTCCAGGCCGAATTCTTCGTTCTCTCGCGTTTCTCCCCCATCCCATTCCATTTGATTTTTAGTGTTGTACGCCTTGTGGTTTTCTTGTGACCACGGAAGGCTCCCGAGTCAGTCGGACCATTACCCATGTTTGAAAGTACTGAAGAACAATTATTTCTTTGAAAAGGATGTGGTCCATGAGCAGCTGTGCTGGGCAGAAATGTTGGTCGAGGGCGGGGGGGGCATGCAACAACAACAACAACAACAACAATAGGAGTTTCACGCACCCTTTCGACCTTGATTTGATTCGTTTTGGTTTGGCGGTGGTTTGTTATACACGACAGGGGTGTGAAGGACACGGAGGAGTGGAAGAAAGAGGAAGAGCGCCTCGTGAACGAGTTGTCCGCCGGGGCTCAAGGAGAGGAAGGAACGAGACTGGTGAGTGTTTTTGTTTCGTGCATCGTTTTCGATTGTATGCTTCGGCCGCAAGTAGTCCACACAGGAAATGAATGCCGCTTGTTCGCTTGTGCTGGTGGTTTTCAACGGGTTTTCTCCCTGATTTGGGAGATGGGCAGGGCCATGACCGATTTTCCTGGGTTGATGCCGCTCGGCTTGTTTCCGTACCGCTGGTCCTATTGTCGAGGCACGAGAGATCCATTGTTATCATTTTCGTGGCCAGACCACCTGCGCCCCCCTCTGTCTGCCTCCAAACTCCCGTCAACAAAACGTCCGTGGCTTTCCTTGTGAGTGAAGGTGGCGCGAGGCCATATGTCCCTGCATTTCCACTCGGATGGCGTGCGCAAGGGCCTTCCCCTTCCCTTCCCCGCTGCGAGGGTTTTCCATAGCCTCCCGGAATAATCGCCGGTAGAATGTTTTTTTTTCTTTTCAGCTTTGCGGAAGAAATGGCAATATCCCGTGTGCTCTCGTGCCAGGAAGGTGATAATTTTGTTGGCGCTCGTGGGGCTAACAGGGTAAAGGATTCCGCGCCGCGTGTTTCCAGGTGTCTTTGTGGGTGCAGGAGTACGCAGGACTGTCATCTCCCGACGAGACGTCGCCGATGCGCTTGCTGTGGGGTAAGGAGCGGTTGGAGGAGGAGCTTCTCGGCCTCCGCTTCACCATCTCGCCAAACTCCTTTTTCCAGGTGTGTGCGTGTTTGTGTTCTTATTGTTTGCATCGACCGTGCTAACCGGCTGACCAATGAAAACGTCAGTCTCGGTGCGTTTGAAAATCAATAGTGCTGTGCGTGTGTGTTGTTATCAGCATCGACCGCGCTAACCGGCTGACCAATGAAATGACGTCAGTCTCAGTGCGGTTGAAAACACAAAATGCTTCCAAGAGCTGATCTTGTGTGTTATTTTTTTATTTATTTCTTGCTGGAGCGGTGTAGAGCAGCGAACACTTTTGGCGAATAGGCTTGCAGTTGTAGGGCAGCAACAACACATCTTCAAGTCTTGTGCATACAATCGGCGTCGACTCTTTGGAGATTGGTTTCAGAGGAGCTCTTCCAAGGTGCCTCCTGTTTAGTATCCGGCGAAGTTCTCGCAGCCATCTTCGAAACGATGTGTGCGTTGGAAAGGGCCGACCTTGCCTATGGTGCTGACGCGAAGAATTAGAAGCAACAATGACCTAGAATGCTAGGGATGAGGCGGAATGAATACGTGGGCTCACCACTTGGTCACATGCCACTCACATCGTTCCATGTGCCGAGTTTGATTTCGAGCATGGAAGTTGCAGAAGACGGGAGGATGGGTTTTTTTTTCGTTGAGCACATGTACAGCGAGCCGATCGTACGCTGTTGTTGTCTGCCAAGATAATACAGGCTGAGCTCACTTTTAGAAAGAGCGATTCGACTTCCGCCTCACCTCCTTGGCGTTTGTTTTTTTGCGAATTAATGAAGCCCCCAGTCACTGCCCCCCCGGTGTTTGACATCGGGATTGGGTTTTCGTCGCTTGGCAACGACGTTGTAAAACAAGCCAATTCACCTCGTGAACTCGGCAACCAGGTTACCGTTTTTTTTTTTACCTCCGGTTTTTTTTGGCGGTAACCATTATGGTGGTCGAGTAGATCATGTTGTGCGGGGTGGAGAACCTGCTCCGCGCAAGGGGGATGATCGCACCACGTTGTGTTGAAATGGTCAGGCACCCTCAAGGCAGCTACACAGTGCTTACAACTGTCTCTGGAAGTGAAAGCACCAGAAAATAAATTAATTCGTACGCAGCTGTCATCCGTACGCAAGGAAGTAAGCAAATGATGCCGAAAACCCTTAGCAGGATGCAGCNAGTCACTGCCGACGAGTCCTCCAGTTGATCACAAAGTGCGCGCTTGTGGGAGATACTGGACCGCGCCGCCTGTCCCCGCCCCGCTCCTCGCACTCCTCATTGCTTGGCGTGTGTGTGTAGGTGAACACGAAAGGAGCTGAGGCGTTGTACAAAGTGGTCATCGAGGTGAGAAGGAGACTGATGCGTTGACCAGAGATGTGTGTACGTTTGATTGTAGGATTGTTGCGGGACTACAGCCGTGTATCGCACTCGAACCGTCTCGTCGAGATCTTTCCCGAAAACTTATCATTTGATGTTGGTATCCTCTTCAGCTTGGCGCAGTCGAGCTTTGAATATCGGTCCAGGGGGTGTAGCATATTATGTAACCTGCGGTAACCTAGTGCTGTCAACACTCACTGCGTTTCTTGCCTTCGAAAAGCACCCGCTACCGCTTCCTTTACCGAGTCCACCGTCTCCACACCCGTACGCCGCCACTCGCTCTTCCGAGCAGAACCTTGAACTCGGTGATGATGCGGTGGTGTTGGATGTATGCTGCGGGGCCGGGACGATAGGAATCTGCGCGGCTGCGGCTGGCGGGGCTAAGCAGGTGACGTTCACGCCAACATGTGATTCACTGGCCTTCCTTTCCATTGTAGAGCCTAAAAGAGTTTTGCCTTTCTGTGGTTGAAGCAAGGTCGCCCGCTTGTGTTGACTGACTCAACGTGTAGGGTAGGTTGGCGCGATATCCTTTCATGAGAATGACGTCACTGAGCGAACGACTCGTCGCGCACGTCCGACGCACTCTTACGGTGTTGCCCCTATCGTTTTCGTGGACACTTGAATGACCGTTCTAATGGTTTTCTCGCTCTCTCTCCACCACGGGCACTGATCCTGCTGGCCTAGACACGGCTCCCGTGACCCCTGGATGCTATAATTTACTCACGATGTACTCTGCAGGTACCGCGAAACCCTTTCGGTGGCATCGGTTGCTTGTATTTTTGCTGTGATGTGTCGGTGCTATATGCTGGATCGACGAATCGGGTGTTGACCTCCTTTGCGATGGAACCGTACATTTCTTCT